CAGAGTTTTCAGTATACAGATAGTCCTCACTTAACAACCATTCATTTAGTGACCATTTGAAGTTATGACAGCACTATGATCAGTGCCTGAAGTTATGACCATCACAGTGCCCCCATGGTCATGTGATCACAAGGTGCTTGGCAATCAGCTCACACTTACAATAGTTGCAGCATCCCAGGGTCATGTGATCACCATTTTCCCAGCCAGCTTCTGGCAAGCAAAATCAATGGGGAACCAGGTGATTCACTTAATGACCATGTGATTCGCTTAACAAATGTGTGATTCGCTTAACGACTGCTGCAAAAAAGGTCATAAAATTGGTCCAGTCACATGATGATTCGCTTAATAACCACATCACTTAGTGACCTAAATTCTGGTTCCAATTGTGGACATTAAGTGATGACTACCTGCACGGTACCTGGATCCATTTGCACCCGCACTGGGCTCGCCCTTGCAGAGCCTCTCCCGGTGCTTTCAGTTGGAACACGCGCCTTGCAGGGTTCTTCCCAGAAAAAAATTCCCTGGCCAAATTAAAATTCCTCCAAGTGCATCTTCAAATGGGTTCAGGATTGGAGAGGAAAAGGGAAGCGGCAGAAGCCACGGGCCTCTAAAAGTGGTAGGTGCGCACTGTGAGTGATCGACTGCCTGCCCTCTCAACCTTCTGATCTGAGTCATGGCACCAAAGTGTTGTGGCCCAAACCTGACCCACCTAAAGCAACCAAATCGCTTTGAAGATACAACATAAATTTCTTAAACAGGTATACCATGACAGTGTACACTGGGCTCCCAGCAAAGCATCGGCAGTTTGCCGAGCAGCCCTGAGCAAGAGCAGAACCACAGCGTATATACCTTTGGCCTACCACACTGCAAAGACAACACAGACAAAGACAAAGGGAGGCACCATGTAAGTCACAGCATGATGTTGGAATGTTTTTGATAAACCCATCTGGGTGACCTTCTCATTCTTTATCCCTTCCTGCTAGGTCAGCAGGGCAACTAGGCTATCTTTGAGATCTGGTCAGTGAACAGAAACCATCTGGTGTACTGGGCCACTGGGCCCTGGCTGATTCCTCCCCCTGTGGCCACTCAGGGTCAATTCAGCTTGCTGTAAATGTTTTCTTACAAGGGCACTTTCAGCAGTTCATATGTATGAGGGGGCACCTCATAGGTTTGGTAGTGAATGCAGCTCACATGTGTATGGAAGGGGTAACTTCTACCACCACAATAAGGACCTCTTAAATGAAGGTCAGGAGTGGAGGACCAGATAGACACCCTCAGGACTCCTTCACCCCCTCCCCTTGGTGGTTTTCAAACGCCCTGCCTGAACACCTTCAGCAGTTACGTCTTCAGTGACCACAAAAGCCAAGATTTTCAGGGATTGAAATTCTACACACACGCGGATGCACACACCTCAATAAACCCTGAAATGACACTTGAAGGAAGACGTGAGAGACAGAAAAACAGGTAGCCTGCAGGGAAGTAAGAAGATGTGTGGATTCAGAAAGCATTTGACTGGCTACAAGTACGTAAGGTGAAAAAAACCTGTCCACTGGGTAGTGTGTGTCTGTGTGTCTGTGTGTGAGAGAGAGAGAGAAGGAGGGAGAAGGAAGTTATTTCATAAGACCCTAGCAATGATAGTTCAGTGTGGGCAGAACTCCTATCCTGCCTCCATAAATCAGGACATACAGCGCTAACAGTGGGGAAGACTCCAACCCCTCTTTCCCACTAAGTCC